ATTATGTATGGCCAGCAGGCTTACTATGTGTAATATCTGGTGTAGTGTGGGAGCCCCAAACTGGGTAGCTGCCTAAGTGTTCATGATACTCCAATAAAACCACCAGTGGACAAGGAGATGTAGACCTGCCGTTTATTACTCACATTACAGGGGAGTTCACCGATGGCACTAGTCTGTGTGAGACAGTCCCCCACCCCCGTCTGAGACTTGTTTTAAGGGGTCCCAGACAAAGGAGGCATATTTCCTATGAGTGACTCTATAACTACATTATCTCAGTATAAAGAAAGGGTCAAGAGGCAGTCACTGGACAGGAAGCCATTCCCAAAAGGTGATGATGAGGAAGTTATAATCCATTTCCAAAACAATACACATTCCAGCCAGTAGCCCTCGGACTGACTAGTCCTTAGTCGTGGGAGGGGGAAGGGCCATGTATTGACCCAACATCTGGCATCACATTACATTGGCAGCCACACCTTAGATAAACCAAGATTGTACCATATTCTACATCAGAATTTCCCAACCGTAGTCCTCATCTCCCATGCTGCTTTGAGTCAAAATTCAGCTCCTGAAGGGGAGGACTTGATAATGAGGGATGTGGTCTCTTTTTGATGCCCTATTATCATGAATGTCAGCTCTGGATTGCCATGTAGTAATATTTAAAGCTCTGGCAGATGGTGAAAAATGCTTAAGAATGAGGATAATCATAAATATCATCAGAGATATTTGGGAACTATTTTGTACTTAATATTTTGTCAACCTACAGCTAACCAGAATAAATATCAAGAATGAGTTTGATCAACCTTATTTAACCAAGTAGCCTATAAAAAATTGACTAATTGTTTCACCTTTCTTTGATGGGTACAAGATATATTGGCTATTGTATGGATTCTTGCCAGCCTGTAAATAGTTGAGAGCAACTGAATTGTTTTTGAATGATTTTAGACATCAGATTTTTATATATATATATATTAGTCTACTGAATTTAACTTATTTTGTTATTTGTCATGGTCAGTATTATAACATGTTTTAGTTTAGAAACTTTGTAGACTCCTGTGTCCTGAACTTTTCCTGGCTAACTGGACTTCTAAAGACAATGAATTACTGCCCTGTCTGGGTAGTTCAGTTGCTTAGTGTCCCAATATGCCAAGGTTGTGGGTTCAATCCCCAGTCAGGGCACATACAAATAGTAACCAGTTGATGAAAAAAAGTGCAACAAATCGATATTTTTTTCTCTCTCTCTCTTTCCTCCCCTCCCCTCCCTCTCTGCTATCCTCTTTCTCTAAAATCAGTCAATAAATACAACAAAAACAATGAGTTACTGAAAGGTTTGTCTTGAATACTTAGAAAGGCAGAATGACCTGTCCAAATTACAGGTTCCTGATTGATGTGGTAAGTACATGAAGACCATATGAATACACAAGATTGGTCTTGCCTTGGCTGGAGTACCAGCCAGGGAACCAAAGGGTCACTGGTTTGATTCCTGGTCAGGGCACATGCCTGGGTTGTGGGCCAGGTCCCCAGATGGAGGTGTGTGAGATGCAACTGATCAATATATCTCTCGATCATCAATGTTTCTCTTCCTCTCTTTCTCCCTCTCTTCCCTTCTCTCTAAAAATAAATAAATAAAATATTTTTTAAAAAGAATAGCCCTGAGGGTCTACACTACGAAGACAAATTTTCATTTGTGGTAATCCTATATGAATTTATTTGGTCTGGGTGGACTTAAATTTTGTTATAGCTTTTAACTACTAAGAAAATAGTTGGATTATAGCTTATGTCATTAGTCCCTGTTCCTTTCCTTTTTATCCTTGATGTGTCTAGAGTTTCTCTGAGGCTATATGAAACATCAGTAACTGTATCATTATCAGAGTCCAGAGATACAGAGTAGGGGTGTTGGAGTTAGTAATGTTAACTGTAATAATATAATTATAGTTATAAATGGATACATAACAATAGTGAATATTAACTGTAATAGTAACCATAGGATTTAGGGGCTAGATGACAAATACAACAGACTTGGTAATTCACAAGTTTTATAGCATACTAACATCTGTCCATTGGCACCCCAGAATTGCCCCATTTCCTTTCTGAACTTTCTCAATGACAAAAAAGAATAACCCTAACAGTATGCAGATAAATTATTATAATTTGTTAAGTAATAGATGACTTACCTGAACTAGAGAAAGATTTTTATCTTCAGATTGAAATAATTGATCAATTCCCAGTGTAATGATTTTAAAGTATGTCTACCAATTCTTTGATATTCCTCCCTAGAAAAGTTGGAACTTTCTTCTCCTTCCCTTGAGTGTAGGCTGGATTAGTAACGTGCTGCTCTAGATCACTTGCTCTGGGGGAAGCCAGCCGCCCTGTCAGAAAGACACAAGGCAGCTCTACAGAGAGGCTCCGATGGCGGGGAACTGAGGCCTTCCACCACCAGCCACGTGAGTGTCCAGTTCTGGAAGTGGACCCTCCAGGGCCAGTCAAGCATTCAGGTGACTTGAATCCCAGCTGATATCTGCAACTTCATGACAGATACTGAGCCAGAACCATCCAGCCAAGCCACTTCCGAATTTGAAACCAACAGCAACTGTGAGATAAAATGGTGGTTGTTTTAAGGTGCTAAATTTTGGAGTAATATAATGAAAATATACAGCAAGGATTAAGAATTTTTTTAAAAGGCACATTTACAAATTGAAGGAAAAATACTGCAAACATCAAACAGAAAAAGTTACTTACGAAAGAAATAAAATCAGATAAATATTTCTTTCATATCAATAACAAAAGCTGCAAGTCAACAACTACACTTTTTAGACAAGCAAAGATTCAGTTTACCTATATACACTTTTTTCCAAAAATAATGGAAGAAGCCCTGGCTGTAGCTCAGTGAACTGAGTGCCGGCCTGCGAACCAAAGGGTTGCCATTTCACTTCCCAGTCTAGGGCACATGCCTGGGCTGTGGGCCAGGTCCCCAGTAGGAGGCATGCAAATGCAACCACACATTGATGTTTCTCTCTTTCTCCTTCCCCTCTCTCTAAAAATGCATAAATAAAATATTTAAATAAAATAATGGAAGAAACTCTATAACAATATAAAAATGGAACCAAATTTAATCATGACTATACTAAGATCCTGGGGGTAAGATAAAGAACAGTGAAAAAAATCCTATTTTGCAATATATGTCAGTTCTAAATGAATGGAGATAGTGTGTGAATGAGAATTTGTAATTTATGCTGTAAAACTGGTCTTAAAATAATTTCCAGTTACATACATGAGTATTAAATGTTCTGATACATTCATCATTTAACAAGTATTTGTTTAAATAAATGCATATGTATTTTAAAAGAAAAAAATTTTTCATTAAGTTCATATATCTTTGTTGTCCACAAATGAAACTTCCCTTAAGAACTGCCACTCCTTAAAAAGTTTTTTAAATTTCTTAAACTGTTACTTTAATCTTCAAAAACTTTTCTGAAACATGGCACATTAGTTTTTAGAAATGAGATGTCTACATAGTTTGGTTTCCTGACTAAACTCCAGCTTACATTTAACACGTGTGTAACATTTTATATTCAAATTTTAATATCCATCCTCAGGAAACCAATCTCTTTTCTCTATAATTTTGAGATGGTGAACATTTATTTCAACATTTGTAATTGGGAGAGGCCAGCAACAATACATTTTATCTCTTAAGTGATGTGAAGTTTTGTTATGTTTTACTTTGAAGTACAGGTTTGTTTTTAGAATTAGTTATCCAGTGGAAAACATTAGTCTTACGAATAAAACTTTACATATAAATATTTATATATACATATAAATTATATAAAGTATAACCTTTATATAAAAGTATAAAGTATAATAGATATTTAATTATATATTTATATATAAATACTATACATAAAACTTATAGGTGACGTATTTTCTATATGCTTACGCCCCAACTCGAGTCGACTGTATGAATCAGTGAGGTCTACAATGGCCTGTCCTCAATAGCCCGGCTGAGGTCTTATAGAGTCACGTCTTCCCTCTTATGGAGTCTATGTATTTATCTCGTATTTGGCCTTCTTTCCCTGCTATCTTCTATTTTTCCAACATTACAATCTTTTCTAAAGAACCCTGGCTTCTCACAATGTATCTGAAGTAGGATTATCAGTTTTATCATTTTTTGCTTCTATCTGTTTCGGGCTTAATTTGCTCTACAACCCACTTGTTCATCGTTCTGGCAGTTCACGTTACCTGTAGAGCTCTACTCCAACTCATTTCAAATCAATTTATATTACAAATGCTTTTGGTTCCTTAAGCTTTTCTCATTTCAATTATGAGTCCATACTGAGCTCACATGAAACAAAATTTTAATACTTGCCTCTTACCAGAACTTTTACAGCAGCTCAAAAATAGTGAGATGTAACGAGCTGCATAATTCAAATCCACTTTAACCAAGTGGATGGGGCACCTAGACAGACCCCAGTTTCCCCTCACATCTTCCTCCATTTTGGAAACGTGGAAATAGAGAAACCTGGCACTTCAGTTTCATTCATTCTATAAACAGGATCTATAAGGCACCTCTTCGAGAGCTAGCCAGGCCTTTTTTCTACCCTTTGGGGGCCACAAAGCACCCTTGCCTGCTGACTAAGAAATTTCTTAAACTTAAAATAATTTTCTCCCGGGTTCTGGTCGGCCCACGAAATTAACGGCATCACGCGAGCCCCCAACCTGCAGTTTGAGCAATGCCCTTTGTCAGCCTAACGCCCAGCCCTCGCTTGGCTAATGGAGTTTCGGAGGCTGCATGGCACTAATTAGCACTAGCCGCGGACACAGGTTTGTCTCAGCTCGCCCTCACGTGACAGCAACGGCCCAATGACCTAGGCCCACGCTCTCCAGACGGCCGCATGCGCTCACAGAGCCTCTGTGCCTCTGGCGCCCCGCCCCAGCCGCTCTGTGCCACCGCGTTAACCCTACCGTGAGAGTCCCGGGCGCCACAATTGCGCGTTCCTACCAAGCCCTGTTTCCCAACTGGTCCCCGGGAGCATGTCCTGATTGGCTTGCTCTGAAGGCGGAGACCGGACTGCTTCGAGACTAGGACCACTTCCTGAAGCGCGGGGCAGGAAATTATCTGGTGTAGTTGGAGTACCTCGGAGAAAGTGCTGTGTCCCGCATTGGTAGCAGCGCGAGCCGTCCGATCTTGCTGCAGTTAGTGCCGGTTTCCATCGTAGCACCACGGCCTCCTTCTCCAGCTCCGAGCCCGGCGCGGCTGCCCGGGGGGCTCCTTCAGCCTCCTTGACGCCGCTCCAAGGGGCACTTAGCCATCGCCCGGGTCTCCAGCCTGGAGACTAGCTCCCGGCTTCAGCTCTCCGAGCCGCAGTAAGAAGGGCCCTTGTCACCCTCGCTCTGCCTTTCTCTCCGATCTGTCGAGACCCTGGTCCAGAGCGTCAGCCTTGGACCTCGGACTAGACGCATCCAAGACGCTCAGCCCAGACCCCCCTCAGACAGGGCTTTTCATCGTGTCTAATATGTCACCCACCATCTCCCACAAGGACAACAGTCGGCAACGACGGCCAGGGTCTTTCAACCCCTCCCTGGATATGAAGAGCGGCCCTCTGCCGCCGGGCAGCTGGGATGACACTCATATGGAGTGGGTGGGCGAAGAAGGGGACAAAGAAGCATTACTTTCGGACGTCGGCACCGATGATTTCTCAAAACCACCGAGGAGTTGCCGGGCCGAATTAAGCAGCATTTTGCTGTTGCTTTTTCTTTACGTGCTTCAGGGCATTCCTTTGGGCCTGGCGGGAAGCATACCACTCATTTTGCAGAGCAAAAATGTCAGCTATACAGATCAAGCTTTCTTCAGTTTTGTCTTTTGGCCATTCAGTCTCAAATTGCTCTGGGCCCCTTTGGTTGATGCGGTTTACTTTAGGAACTTCGGTCGTCGCAAATCGTGGCTTGTCCCTACACAGTATATACTGGGAATCTTCATGATATATTTATCCACTCAGGTGGACCGTTTGCTCGGAAATACCGATGGCAGAGCCCCCGATGTGGTTGCTCTCACAGTGACATTCTTTTTGTTTGAATTCCTGGCCGCCACTCAGGACATCGCTGTGGATGGTTGGGCATTAACTATGTTATCTCGGGAGAACGTGGGTTATGCTTCTACTTGCAATTCAGTGGGCCAAACAGCGGGCTACTTTTTGGGCAATGTTTTGTTTTTGGCCCTTGAATCTGCCGACTTCTGTAACAAATATTTGCGATTTCAGCCTCAACCCAGGGGCATCGTTACTCTTTCAGGTAGTGTATTTAAACTATGTTGTTTGGTTTATTTTACGTTTATGAATCCCTTTGAAAATGTGTGATGTTAGAGGGAAGCTCATTATTTAATTTACTGGAAATCATTTTTGGGTGGTGACCCAAGGTTAGTTTTCTGTTCCACTAAAATGAGAATGACTTTATTGGAGTAATCATAAGTGATCAGTACTGAGCAGTAAGCAGGGAGAGGCAGCCTGTGGAATGGCAAACAAAACTCAGTCTAGGGATCTGTTGCCTAATACACAGATGCGTTCTCACCCAAGGGGACTTAATGATTTTAGAAGAGAGAAGGGAGGGAAAGAGGGAGAGAAACTTGGATCTGTTGCCTTTCATAAGCACCCTGACCAGGGAAGAACCCCACTGAGGACCAAACCCACAACCCAGGCATGTGCTCCAATGGAGAATTGAACTCCTGAACCTCCGGTTCACCGGAGCAGGCTCCAACAAACTGAACCACACTGGCCGGTAACATTTTATAAGTCTGTCTAATGTGAAGTCACGGATCCAGGTTGACACCTGTGTTTCACATTTTCCTTTTCCTGGATTGAGATTTCTGTTGCACTTTTAGCCCCTATTCTTACATCAAGAGACTTCATTTAGCCCTCTTGTGAAAGGAGTAGGGTTAATTTATTCCAACATTAAGTATTTGGCTGAGCGACAGAGTTCTAAGTACTTGCTAAAAAGCAGAGCCCAAACCACAGGGAACTGGAGAGATGCCCATTTTAGGGGAGCTCAGAGTTGCTGGTTTTTGACTGCTTGTGGGAGTCAGTCTTGCCACTGTAGATATTTGACTTTGTTGAGTGATAACATACCATGAAGTGGGTAAGTGAAACTCCAGAATGCACACCAGGTGAAACATGCACTGAAGAAGCCAAGTACAAAAAAAGTATAGGACAGTGCCTCTGATGTTCAAAGTGCCTAAAGCAGTATTTTCGGGGACTGGGTTTGTGAAATAGTTCTGAAAGAAAGGTAGAGACGAATCAGTAAGACTTCCTTTAAATGCTATAAGAGTTTGAAGTTTATCTAGTAAGAAATTGGTTGTAAGTTCTACAAAATTTCCCCTTTTTCTGCATGAGTAAAGTACATGCCTCGAAGATTTTATGAGAATTTGTTTAAAACTTTCCTAACAACTAGGAAACAGAAGTGGAATTCTCACTATCAGTACTACTGAACATCAGGAATATAGTATAATTCATTCTGGTAGTGATGATGAATTCAAACAGCTGAATTTTTCTCTCATCTTCCCAGTACTAGATTGTGAATTTCCGACAGGGTAAATCAGGGGTAGTTTTGTGGCAAGGGAAGTATAAGAGTTACAGTATTTGGGGAGTGGTGAGGAGGGAGGGATTCACAACTCAAGTACTCATCCCCTGGAATCTTAGAAAACTCTACACCCTGTAAGGGATCCCCTTTCTACCTCAAACTGCTATGAGCCTCTACTACTGATGAAATGATAATTATACTTTTCATTAGTTGGTTTGGGGCCAAAAACGATTGAGAGCTCATTGTTTTGCACTAGATAGATTTGTCTGAATTTTCTGAGTTCCTTGTCCTCTAAGAATAAATCTCTGCCTAAAAATAATTTGTGACTACATCAAATTGGCACCTTGTTGCTTCGTATTTGTCCTGCTTTTCACTGTGTACTAGACTGTGCATGCCAGTAGGAAAGGCTAATGAAGTGATAATGTTACTTAGTCTCAGTAGGGAATTTAAGATTTAAAAGGCTGTGGGAACTATATCATTAACAAGGTAAATGAACTCTTTGTTAAGCATAAGAGTGATTGATAAAACATCATTCCAGAGAATGGCATTCAGGAGCCATTCTAATTATCTTTCCTTAGCCATAGCTGTTCCCCAATAGGAAGATCAAAATAGTGCCTTTGGAGGGTTTTTTAAGAATATTTTATTTATTTTTATTTTTCGAGAGAGGGGAAGGGAAGGAGAAAGAGGGAGAGAAACATCAACGTGTGGTTGCCTTTCACATGGCCCCCATTGGAGACCTGGCCTGCAACCCAGGCATGTGCCCGGACTGGGAGCTGAACCAGCCACCCTTTGGATCACAGCCCGGCGCTCAGTCCACTGAGCCACACCAGCCAGGGCCATTGGAGTTTTATTTACACTAATTTGTAATTTTGAATAGCTGTTTATCTGTGGAATTTGAACTTTGTTCTCCTGGAAATTGTAAAAGGAGCTTACTGTTTAATTTGATTTTTTATATCAGTAGTGGACTGCTGTTTTTGGTTTAAACATTTTAGTAAGTTAAAAGTTGAAGAATTTCTGAATTTTCATTTGTCTCTTTGTGACTGCACAGTAACACGTTCATAGCCTCGCACTTTCTGGAACTTACTATACAATCACGGACAAAAACCAGGGGTTTCGAGCAATTCAAAGAGCATATAAATAATCATGAAGGAAATAAAATTGCTTAGGTCATAAAAAAAGAGCCAAACACTGAGGCAGATGCTTAGAAAATCAGGAAATTAAGTGCAGGCCTTATTTTTTGCAGAATTCTAAAATATGATGTGATTAATACTCTGAGCATTACAAGTATATGGAAGTGAATATACGGAGAACGGTTTTTGCTGTCTAGAAAGCAGTGATCTAAATAGTAAATACAGACAAAGATAGGGTGCAACTAGAATGCCCTAGAAACAAAACCTTGATTATGCCGAGACTGGTTTTGGTGCCGTCAAGGGTTCAGGACAGCACTAAACTCACAAGTGGGCTTTTTTCTGTCCTGCCACATTTGGTTTTTTCAAGGATCTTTAGTAGCAAAAAGGCATGACTTTTTAAGCTGCAGGAGCTGATTAAAGTAACCCAAAAGAACATAGAGATGAAAACAAAGTTTTATGACTTGAAAGAATCATGTATTTCAACTTCGTCATTCGTGTCCATGAAGAAACTGCAGCCAAGTGGCTAGATATAGATGTATATCTACAGTGTAGATTTCCTGACTCCTTAAATAGAATACATATACAATGTAACATAATGAAATATAATATGTGCTCATTAGGCTTTTCCATCAGAGGAAAATAGCACTAGGACAGCTGGTGTATAAAAAAACATCAGCCGACTCCTGGACGGTCCAATGACCAGAAGTGACAGATCAAAAAGGTTTTTTGTTTATTTTAAGTGATGCATGTTACTCATTTACTCACCAGCGAGTGCCTGTTTCCTACTAGCCATGTGATAGTGTTATAGTTTGATGAATAAGACCTGAGAATTTTCTGTTCCTAATGCATTTAGAGTCTGCAGTGAGGTTTGTAAACCAAAATGATGGAGGGGGTAAATAGATAATGTAAATGAGTGGGTTGGTACAAGACTGCCAGGATTGGAGGGGCAGTGATGACCTGGAAAACCCATGCTCATCGAATGGCAGGAAGCTTCAATGTGGCAGTAGGGTCCTGGGATTGCTAGATTTTATGAATATTCGAGAGAAGCTGAAAATTTTTTTCCTAATTAAAACTGTTTATTGATTTTAGCAAGAAAGGAAGCGGATCTGGGGGTTAAGGGGAGGAGGGGAGAAACATCGATTGCTTGCCTCCCACACATGCCCCGACCAGGGATCAAACCTGCAACCTAGGTGTGTGCCCTGACCAGGTATCAAACCCCCAACCTTTTGTTTAAAGGGACAGCCTCCAACCAACTGAACCACATCGGCCTGGGCTTTTCCCTCTAATTTTAAAAACACTAATTGGATTCGTGTAAAATGTCTTTTTTCCGGATCTAGCTGGTACTTGAGGCCAACTTCTCTGCAAGCAGTGGTAGCAATAATGAATAGAAGTGATTGGGACAGGAAACAGGCAATTTGGGTTTGGGGACAGGGAGCAGGTTAGTCTGATAGCAGAGAAGAGAGCTCATCATACTAACAGTTTATGAGTCAGTTTGTTAGGAGTCAGAGAAAGGACCTGTTGCTTTGAAAAAACTGATACTCTAAGTGTAAAGCTAATCAAACTGGCAGTGATAATAGTGAAACCAGTATGTACCCATAGGACATTCATGCTTTGAACTAGGAAGTGAGCAGAACCAGTTCTTACTTAGTGACACATTTCTTTGTCTTGCTTTTTGAAGCAGTACTCGTTAACACCTTTTATGTGACTACTAATGCTATTCAGAATTGGGCAGAACTAAATGACCCATTTCTAGACAGGCCTGTTAAGTTTAAAGCTCCTCTTACATTCTCAAAAGATAAAACTAAAGAGATGGAGAACAGATTGATAGTTGCTAGGGGTTGTGGGTGAGGAGAAGATGATGGATAGCCCCAGGGAGTTTTGGAGAGTAATGGAAGTGTTCTGAACCTTGGTTATGGTTGCGATTTGAAAATGGTATGTGTGTTAAAATTCATAGAACTGTACATTAAACATATTTGGTTTTACTGTATAATAATAAAGTAAGAGTTGTATTAAAAAAACTAATTCATTACCTTCAAAGCTAATCTCTGGGTAAATATATTTTTAAAACTCCTAAAAACAAGTCCATTGCCTTTAAAGCTAATCTCTATAATAATTTAAAGTAAGATTTATATAAAAAATGTTTTAACCAATCAACTGCCATGGCCAGGTGGCTCAGTTGGTTGTAGCATCTTCCCAATACACCAAAAGGTTGTGGGCTCCATCCTTGGTCAGGGTGCTTGCCTCGGTTTGGGTTCGATGCCTGGTTGGGGGCCATGCAGGAGGCAACTGGTTGCTGTTTCACTCTCACATCAGAGTTTCTCTCTCACTCTGTCTCCCTTCCTCTCTCTAAAATTCAAACATATCCTCAGGTGAGGATTAAAAAAAATCCATTACGTTAAAAGCTAATCTCTAGGTAGGGATGATGTAATCCTTGAGTTTAGCTTCCTTTTTGCCTTGAATGAAACAATCCATAAATTTGGTGGATCTTACCTCTCGGTGTAGACAAATGGAGCAAATCTGAACTTATTTTCAAATGTTGTGTGCACTTTTAGTAGTAAAGTGAGATAGGTGGAAAAATACTGCAGCTAGTATATTCAAGAAGGATTGAATATTGGATATTTAAAAATTGGAGCCAAGCCCTGCTTGGTGTGGCTCAGTGGATTGAGTGCCAGCCTGCGAGCAGGGGGTTGCTGGTTCAATTCCCAGTCAGGACATGTGCTTGGGTTGCAGCTGGGTCCCCAGTACTAGGTGTATGCCAGAGGCAACCACGCATTGATGTTTCTCTCCCTTTTTTTCTCCCTCCTTTCCCCTTTCTCTAAAAATAAATAAAATCTTTAAAAAAGAACACACACAAAAAACTGGAGTCCACACCACAGAAGGAAGGTCTTAAAGCCACTTAAACAAGAACAAAGGAAAAAAAGGAAGGAAGGAGAAATGGTGCTGTATGCTTTCTTTGTCAAGTAAAGAGCTGTGGGATTGCGTTTGTGTGGAAAAGTCAGTTTACAAAATCCATAGTGAGCCAAGAAATTATCAGATTTTATTTGGCACAAATCTTACTCTGAATATCACTTCTGATTATATTGAAATTTATTTAGAGGCCAATTGAATTAGCCTGTAAAGACTTCTTTTTTGATTCTTTATATTGTCTTTTATTTAAGACCTACGTATCTTGTACTTAGCCCAGTCTTAGAACTTTTGCATTCTTAACTTTTTCATTTATTTTTTAAAAGCTTTTTATTTTTAAATAATTATGGATTACAGGAGGTTGCAAAGAAATGCTGAATGAAGTCCCACGCACCTTTCCCCCAGCCTCCTCCTTTAACATCTTAGGTAACTATAGTACAGTATCAAAACCAAAAAATTGACAAAATCGGTAGAGCTTATTAAGATTTCTCCAATTATACGCGCACTCCTTCGTGTGTGTGCATGTGTGTGGTATGTGCACTTCCATCCTGGGCTAACCAGCAGAGCGATCAAAACGCTCTGCTGCACCATCACCGCAAGACTGCTTTGTGTTGCCTTTTACGGCCAGACCCCTTTCTTCCTCTCCATCACTAACCCTGGCAACCACTAATTTGTTTTTCATCTTCAGAATTGTTATTTCAGAAATGTTACCTAAATGAAATCATGCACTATCCCCTGGAGATTGATCTTTTCCATTCAGCTTAATTTCTTTGAGGTTCATCCAGGCTGTTGTGTATAGTAATGATTTATTTCTTTTTATTGCTGAGGAGTATTCATTTGTTAGACATATCACAGTTTATTTCACCACTCATCCATTAAGGTAGTTTTCAGTTTTTGGCTATTGCTTATGTGAAAATAAGTCTTCATTTGTCTGAGATGAATGCCCAAGAATGCAAATGTCAGTTTACGTTAAGTCCATTTTTAGTTCTGAAAGGAACTCCCAAATTTTCCCAGGTGGTCCTGCCATTTATGAGTGATCCAAACCCGTCTTCTCTGCATCTTTGCCAGCATTGGCTGTGATTGTTCTTTTCCTTTTTTTTTTAATTTTCCCAGTTTCTTTTTTGATGTGGTCATTATTTTTATTTGATTGCACTGTCCTGTGTTTTGCCTTGAATATTAAGCATCCAGGTGCTAGCTATTATATCCTATATTTGCATTCATGAGAGCCCTAAGTAAGATCTAGTAGCTCCTCCAGAATATTTAGTTTGTATTATAAGACTTTGCTCAAAAGCCATATTTATGAGGCTTAAACATGAGCTTTGACATCTTGATCATATCATAGCATACATTATGTAGTATAACATCACAATGCTTTTGTAGATACATAAATCAAAATGAACCAAAATGTTAATAATGAAATATTTAGATCACTTTTTATAATAATACCTTCACAGGGGTTAGTATATCAGGCTATGTATGTTTTAGCGCCAAAGCAATGTTGATGAACAATAGCCAGTAGTCCAGTGGTCAATATTTATGGTAAGTATGTTCGTAAATTCTGTCAGTATGTTTTCTGGCAGTGGCAGAGCCTCTCTTTCAGAGCTGTTAGCTTCATTCTGTTCACGTGAGCTATGGGGAGCCTTCGAATCAGGGCTCTGGATGACGCATTGTTACTATTTCCTTCTTTCAGTGCACTGTTTTATCCTCAAGCACAAAGAAATTACACATAATCCTGTCTGCAAACAAAACTAAAACCTGTTCAGCCTGTTCTTACTCTTTGTCTCCCGATGTTGATATCAAGGAGTTTAAGTTTTAGATTTTTTTTTCATTAAAATTGGGAGACTATACTAAGCAAGTTTTCCCCGCTCTGTGCCTTTGAGTGACAGCTGTCCCTGGCACAGTCCCGGGGCAAGGATGCACCCGAGGGTTTTTCTTTCAGCACCAGCTACCAAATCTGGGCCCCACTGCCTGGGGGAGGACCTGTGAAAGGGCTATTAAGCAATTAAAAAAAAAAAAACAAAAACATTGCTTAGACCCTGGCTTGTATAGCTCAGTGGATTGAGTGTGGGCCTGCAAACTAAAGGATCATGGTTTGATTCCTGGATCAGGGCACATGCCTGGGTAGCAGGCCAGTTGCCAGCAGGGGGCGCATGAGAGGCAACCGTATGTTGATATTTCTTTCCCTCTCCCCTTCCCTTCCCTTCTAAAGATAAATAAATAAAATCTTAAAACAAAAAACAAAACACACACACACAAAACTTTGCTTAAAGAACTGGAACTCTTTAATATATATATAACTGAAAAACATTTAATTTTCACTTAACATTTACATAGAGACCATTAATTGAAATTTCTGGTGACGTGATAATAATATTGTTTTGTAGGGTTTCTTAAATAACTAATTTAAGCCAAGTAAGGATCATAAACTTTATGAAGGAGAATAGTATTATAGATGAAATTCTGTAAGCAAGCCATTATTTGTCACATTTCACAGATGACTTTTGAGGATGCAAAAATAATGAACATTAGCTTTATTTAAGGGATAATCTTAAATTTTTGTTCATTCCTTTTGAATTTGAATTCAAAACATCCTATTAACAAGTTAGAAATTGCTGTGATGTTATTTTGATGAACTTTAACCATAACTTGTATATATTACTGTGTTTTAAAATAGATACCTTTGCATTTAAGAATGTTTTGTGTCTTCTGATATCTAAAGTTAAGTATAACTTTCCCATGTAGGAGAACTCACCTCAGAATACAAATATCCATACATGCTTGAGTCATTTTAGCTTCTTTAATTTGCATCACTTGGGTAACACAGTCTTGTTTTTTGTTAGCCTGTGGAGATTAAACAAGAATTCAATTAAATTCTTGTAAATTTTTGTTTCAACATTAATTTTTAAAAATTATGCAGGTAGTGTGAAAGATGGTAAAATCCAAATTCAGATTTAGTTTCAAATTCTGCCTCAACAGTTTTACCTCTGGCAAAGATTTAAATATTCTGGGCTGCTTTTCCTCATGTCTGCATGGTAATAATGCCTGCTTTGCCTTTCTCACACGTTTGCGTGTGAGAAAGCCAAGTCAGATAACATGAGAAAGGCACATTTAAATGCTAAGGGGAAAAATTGGTCTAAACATATAGTGCTATTGTCTCCGTCATAAGTGAGTTCAAGTGGTAGAGATCGCCATCCACTTAGTGCAGCAGCGGAGCAAGACCAAATACAAAGGAAGGCCCCTACTGAAGAATGCTCTAGTTGTTTCCGCGGAAAGGTAAGGAGGCAGGTTCCGTGAACAGTTTGTTGTGCTCTGTGAGCAATAAAATAACAAGTAGGCATATAAAATTAGTACAAGCCTAGAATGTTAGAGCTAGAAGGCATCTGGGATTTTCTAGCCAAGGCCTTTTATTTTATAGATGGTGAAACTGGCCTGGGTTATCCAGTAAGTTTTATAGTGAAGAACTAAGATTAAGGAGATATGGGTTTTGAAATTTATTATACAAGGCATCAAATCACAGTTTTATTACTGACTCAGAATTAACTTCAGGCATAACATCTCTAAGTCTGTTTCTTTATCTGTAAGTTGGGACTAGTAAGTAATAAATGAATCTCCCGTTGTTGTAGTAAATGAGATGGTATATGTAAAATGCTTAGCACACTTATGGCACATGATATATATTCAATAAATGGTGCCTTTACGATTACTGTGATTTTGAGCAACCACAGAGAATCTTTGAGAGCATCATTTACCCTCTCTGCTTTATTTGTTTAAAGTAATGGCTAATGGCCCAGCAGTCTTTCACTGACAACCCAGTGATTTTTCATGTGTCCCCATTGTGCAACTGCAAGTGTGAAAAAACTGTTTCCGTACCTCAGTATTGAGGACAGAAAGCTTTTACTAAACAGTTTTAAAACATTAGAAAGTTTCAAAATATGGGCTGGAAAATCTAAACGATCACCTGTTTATTGTCTAAGTGGTCATACTTTAATAGAGAATTGAAGTGTCTTAGGCACTTAGGAAATATGACTGATGGCTTGGTCATGTGGGATGTGAAAATCACCTCTCCCAACTCCAGAGGTAGACTTTTATTTTCATCCAACCCTGGGTGGGATGTTACTGTCGGTTACTGTTGGTAACCCTGTTCTTTTTCCTCGTTAAGTATCCCTGTCTAATTTTGGTCGGTGTAACGTACGTTAACAGAGCCAGGTAGGTCTGCCTCGCTTGTCTGCAGCGTCTGGTACTTAGGGTGCCTTGAATGTGATAAATTGTGCACATTGTGCTAAATTTTTCTTACCAGATTTTAATTGAGGAAAAGTTGTATACAGAATTATATACTATCAATGAAGTTATGTCATTTTAAAAGTTAATTATCGATTTTAACATTTTAAATTTCAGATTTCCTTTTTTTCTGGGGAAGTGTATTTTTGATAACAACAACTTTAGTTGCCATTCTGAAAAAAGAAAACAAAGAGGTATCAGTAGGAAAAGAAGAAACCCAAGGGATCTCAGATACTTACAAGCTGCTTTTTGCAATTATAAAAATGCCAGCGGTTCTGACATTTTGCCTTCTGATTCTAACTGCAAAGGTAAGAGACTTAGAAAGCTGTTTACCATTCTGTTATAATTACCATTATCATGAAACACTTCTATTGCCTTCTCATGTAATAAGCTTCTTTCCACTACTTTTAGAATTTAACAATAAAAAACAATTTTTGTTTATTAAGTATGTTTTAAAAGGTATGATGATATCAGATATAATTTTAAAGCTAAATGGGGATCTTGAAAAAAATTGTGCTGCCCTGCCTGGTGTAGCTCAGTGGATTGAGCACGGGCATGTGAACCAAAGGATTGCTGGTTTGATTCCCAGTCAGGGCACATGCCTGGTTTGTAGGCCAGGTCCCCAGTAGGAGACACATGAGAGGTAACCACACATTGATGTTTCTCTCTCACTCTTTTTACTTCCCTTCCCCTCTCTCTAAAAATAAGTAAATAAAATACTTTTTTAAATTGTGCCAATTTAAACTATGTCTAACAAATGTGAAATTTATTTAATGAATAATATTAATGCTTAGTGTAAAAGTGAATGGCTTGAAAAAACAATAGCTCTACTGTTACAGTGAGTATACATTTAGAGATAGTAAAATTATTTACTTAGGATGTGAGTTCTAAAGATACAGAAATGTATGAGTGTTAGAAGTTTATTTAAAAATCAGTTTCATTTTTAAGTGTTAGAAGGAAATATACCGTAAAAATGGGGGTTGTAGTTATTTTTATTTTACATTTTATGGTTTCTGTATAAAGATGTCCATTTTTATAGTTCTAAAGCATTTTATTTTTTAGTATGTTTTGTTGATTATGCTATTACAATTGCCCCATTTTTCTTCTCCCCTTTATTCCCCTCTGCCCTACACCCTCCCTCCCACCAGCATCCCTCACCCCTTAGTTCGTGTCCATGGGTTATATGTATAAGTTCTTTGGCTTCTTCATTTCCTATATTATTCTTAAGCTTCCCCTGTCTATTTTGTACCTACCATTTATGCTTCTTATTCCCTGTACCTTTTCCCCCAATCTCCCTTCTTGCTCTCCCCACTGATAACCCTCCATGTGATCTCCATTCTGTGATTCTGGTCCTGTTCTAGTTGTTTGCTTAGTTTGTTTTTTTTTCAGGTTGTTTATAGTTGTGAATTTGTTGTCATTTTATTATTCATATTTTTAAAATATTTATTTATTTTTAGAGCGGGGGGAAGGGAAGGAGAAAGGATGGGAGAGAAACATCAATGTGTGGTTGCCTTTCATGTGTCCCCTACTAGGGACCTGGCCTGCAACCCAGGCATGTGCCCTGACTGGGAATCAAACCAGCAACCCTTTGCTTCACAGGCCCATGCTCAATCCACTACCAGCCAGGGCTACTATTCATATTTTTCACCTTTTTCTTAGATAAGTTCCTGAAACATTTCATATAATAAGGGTTTGGTGATGATGAATTAATTTAACTTGACCTTATCTGGGAAGCACTTTATCTGCCATTCCATTCTAAAGGAGAGCTTTGCTGGATACAGTAATCTTGGATGTAGGTTCTTGCCTTTCATGACTTTGAATACTTCTTTCCAGCCCCTTCTTACCTGCACAATTTCTTTTGAGAAATCAGCTGATAGTTTAATGAGAACTCCTTTATAGGTAACTGTCTCCTTTCCTCTTGCTGCTTTTAAGATTTTCTCCTTATCTTTAATCTTGGCTAATGTAATGATGATGTGCCTTGGTGTGTGCTTCCTTGGGTCCAACTTCTTTGGGACTCTCTGAGCTTCCTGGACTCTGTGGAAGTCTATTTCCTTTGCCAGTTAGGGAAGTTCTCCATTATTTGTTCACATAAGTTTTCCATTTTTTTGCTCTTCCTCTTCTCCTTCTGGCAATCCTATGATTCAGATGTTGGAACATTTAAAGTTGTCCCAGAGGTTCCTAAGCTTCTCCTCATTTTTTGGAATTCTTGTTTCTTCATTCTGTTCTGGTTAAAATGTTTATTTCTTTCTTCTGGTCCATATCTGGCCTTGGCTGCCCATCTCCACTCCTACTAGTCTGGATGAATGTTTAACTCCTCGGTTGTCGGACTTCCATCCAGTTTGATTTTCTGATAGTCCTGGTTATTTTTTGTTTTTAAATTTATTGTCCTTCTTCTGGTTGTGCAAGGAAGTAAAGTTTATCTACCTACTCCTCCATCTTGGCCAGAAGTTCTATAGTTCTAAAACATTTTAAAGACATTATGCTAGAAGAGAGGTAAGTATACTTTGTTAGAGTGAGCTATTGCTAGTGTTGGAATTAATATTCTTAAAACCTAGAATCAGTTATAGGAGTTTTCTATTAATATTTAAACTTATGTACATAAATACTTCGTAACTATCTTTGACAACACTGAAATAAAAATTTTCGCCTCATGTTTTTCAGGTAGTGAATATTTCCCCCTCTCTAGTGATAGGGTGGGTTAAATTTTAAGAAAACATTAGGAAGTTTTAAACTTAAAGAACTTAAATTTCAACTGAAGGTAATGCTGAAAGATTCAAGAATGATAATATTAACTAGTTACAGAATTTACAGATTACTTTCTATAACATTTTTGGTATATTTTCCAGCCCATTTCCTCCTATACGTGTGTGCGTATGTGTACTTTACATATATAATGAATTAATTATAAACAAATTTGATATGAATACTATACATTTATATACACATAAATACTTTAAAAGTGTAATTGTATCATATTGTATTACGTCTAATCTTTTTTCTTATGACTCCATATTCCTGTATCATTAAATAATATTTAAAAACTTTAAAATAGCAATATATCACAGTCAATAAAATTGTCATAATTTATTCAATCATTTTTCTGTTGTATATTTAATTTGCTTAGGTTTTTTAATTATAAAAATGCAGTAGTGAATTTTTTTGCAGTTTTTCTTTGACATTCTGAATATTTCCTAATAGCAGATTCTTAAGTGGGAGTCGGTAGGTCAGTGAATATAATTGCTAAATTACTTTTTTAAAAAAAATTTGTTTATTTACTTTTTAGACAGAGGGGAAGGGAGGGAGAAAGAAAGGGAGAGAAACATCGATGTGTGGTTGCCTCTCATGTGGCCCCCACCAGGGACCCTTTGGTTCGCAGCCCATTCTCAATCCACTGAGCTATACCAGCCAGGGCGCTAAATTACTTTTTAAAAGATTATAATAATTTATACTGTGCATAGTAAGAAGGAGGTGCTTCAATTACAGAGTCTAGAATCTCATGTTCCCCTTTTAAAGTAAACCTCACTAAAAGTAATATCTCTCCTAACTTTTGTACCAGAAATTAGTTTCCTGTTTTTGAGTTTTATATAAATGAAATATCCAGTATATATTTGGATGGCTAGCTCTAGTATTCTTTCATTTAACATTATATTTGTATAATTTATATTGTTATTTATAGCAAAAGTTTAATTATTTCATTGATTATAACATTCCACCGTTTGAATATGCCATAATTTATTCTGTCCACAGATTAGGTTATTTCTACTTTTTGACTATTATGAATAGTGTTTCTGTGAATATTATGTACATTACTTTTGGTGAACATATGTGCACATTTGTGATGAGTAAATACCTAGGTATGTAATTGCTGGGTCACAAGTAAATTATGTTAGTATATACCACCAAACAATTTTCCAAAGTGATTATTTCAGTTTCTCTACCATCAGCAGTGTAAGAGTTCAAATTGCTTTGTAGCCTTAAAATCAGGTTATTGTCCTTGCAGTTTTACCCTTTTTGGTGGGTATGTAGTAGCATCTTGTTATGGTTATAATTTGTATTTCTCTGGTTACTAAAGAAACTGAGCTTTTTTTTTTCCCCATATGGTTATGGTCATTTGAATGTTCAATGTTGCCTTTTTCTTTAAATTTGTAGAATTTGTATTTTTTATGTATTCTAGGTATGAGGTTATTGTTGGATGTATATATTACAAATATTTACTACTATACCAGTTTTAAGACAGAGTAAATGTTGAAGTGAATTTGTATATAGAAATTTTACAAAAAGAATGGATGAATATAAGTGAAATTATTTTCTGGACTTAAGTGAAATATCTTTACCTTTAATATTTTTTTATGGTGAAATTTATTTTATGGTTCCATTCCAAGAGGTCGAAGTATATAGAATTTGTCATTCCTTTTTTTAAGGAATTTTTTTATTTGATGGAGTTTCATATTTATTAAAAATCTACTGTATCATTTAAGAATTCCCATATATCTGTATCAAAGGTTTCTAATTGTTAACATCTAGTTCCATTTTTTTTATTTTGTAAATTTGCAGTCTATTACATATTTCTTCTGAAATATTTGAGTCATTTGTATATACCATGCCCCTTATAAATACCTTAAGTATATATTTTCTAAGAACAACTTTCTCTTACAAAGCCACAACTTGGTTAAAAATTAGGAAATTTTGAATTGATACAATACTCTTATCTAATCATAGTCAATATCCAAATTTCACCAGTTGTCCCAATGATAGACTTTATAACCTTATTTTCCTTTTCTTGTTAGGGATTCAGCCCATGATTACACATTACATTTAGGTGGCATGAGTCCTTCTGTGGCCTTTGTGACTTGGACATTTTTAAGGAATATAAACGTTTCATTTTTTTCCCTAAGATTTTATTTTTTTAGAGAGGGGAAGTGAGGGAGAAAAAGAGGGAGAGAAATATCAATGTGTGGTTGCCCTTTATGTGCCCCCAACTGGGGACCTGGCCCACAACCCAGCATGTGCCCTGACTGGGAATCAAACCCGAGACCCTTTGGTTCGCAGACCAGCACTCAGTTCACTGAGACACACCAGCCAGGGCTCATTTATATTTGTTTGATGTTTCTTTATATTTAGGCTCAGTTATACAAACATATCAGAAATATCACAAGTTCAAGGAATTATCTCAAGAGCCATATCATGTTCCTTTATTCCATTAATTGTTGCCAACTTTGATTACTTTGTTAACGCATTTTAAAGTCACTTTTCATTTGTACATACTTAACTAATTTTGGGGAGATACTTTGAGACTCTAAATATCTTGATTCACCTCATCTTTACTCACTGCTCTTAGCATCCTTTTGTGGTTTTTAAGAATTAATCTAACCACACTTTTTCTTCCTACTCACGTAATTCAACCTTTCAGATGTAATGTTTTATCAGAATTACTTTTGAAATGTTAAAAGCCTTTTGAAAATTTTATTATGGTCAGTCAGAAATATGTATTTGTGACATTGATGTTTCATTTTAACCAGATTTATTTGGAGTCATTTAAAACTTTTGAACTTAAAATATATAAATCAGCAGGTTTATATTTAGATACTTTATTATAAGAGATTGAACTTTTGAAATGGAAATTTAATTTTAATTAGAGCCATCTACAGTTCCTAGGAGGGCTGAATTTTTAGTCATTTTTCACGGAATATTATTAGTAGTTCGTAGGGCAAAGTGTACCTTCTCTAACTTGATTGTTGTACCAAACGTTATGATATGACATCAGTCATATCATAACTGGCATCGGTCAATAATGAGATTGAGGTTCTTGAAGAGCTTACATATGCTTGGAGGAAAATGTTTCATAAATCTCAAGTTAAAATATTTTTGTTTTTATATTACAGATTGGTTTTTCAGCAGCAGATGCAGTAACGGGACTGAAACTGGTGGAAGAGGGAGTGCCTAAAGAACATTTAGCCTTACTGGCAGTTCCCATGGTTCCTTTGCAGATCATACTGCCTCTCATTATCAGCAAATACACTGCAGGTCCCCAGCCACTAAACGTGTTTTACAAAGCTATGCCCTACAGGTAAAGACAAAATGAAACCTTTAAATAAGAAAGATTAAATGAGGAACAGTCATCAGTATCACTAATGTCTGTGTGTACAGTATTTATGGAAAAAAGGTTTGAAAAACATCTTTAATATCATTTATAGCACTTTTATCTCTTTTTAACCTCCCAGTGGGTTTTTGAATACAGGCTTTTTTTGTGTGGTAGACACAGGTTTCTGTTTTAGTTGTTTTTTAACCTAAAATGGAAGGCAGCTCAGTGTTCCTTTTTTTTTTTTTTCCTTCTGTAGATTATTGCTTGGATTGGAGTATGCTCTACTGGTTTGGTGGACTCCTAAAGTAGAACATCAAGGGGGATTCCCTGTATATTACTATGTTATAGTGCTGCTGAGTTATGCATTACACCAGGTAAGCTTGTTGTTTCCTCAGGAAGTAAACTTTTTTATAAAATAAAGAAGACATTTTTCTATGGTTGCCTTAAAATAATGATAGCAAACTTCAAGATTCAAGCACAGACCTGATAATGAAATTATTTGACAGTATACTTTAAACTTTGTGACTTTTTAAAAAAGATTTTATTTAATTTTAGAGAGGGAAAGGAGGGAGAAAGAGAGGGAGAGGAACATGAATGCGTGGTTGCCTCTTATGTGGCCCCCACTGGGGGCCTGGCCCACAGCCCATGCGTGTATCTTAGACCAGGAATCGAACCAGCAGCCGTTGGGTTCGCAGGCCGGTACTCAACCCACTGAGCCACACCAGCCAGGACTCCTTCGACAAATATTAAGTGGCCACTGATTCCAAGCCAGAAAACATTCTAAGTAGTAAAGTATAACAGCATAATCATGCCAGAATCCCTGCCCTTGAGGAGTTTGTATCCTAAAGGCTTTCAGAAGGCCTGCAGTGAAAGGGACCTGTTTAATTTTATGTAACGTAGTATTTCTCAGTCTTATTTGATACTGGAACGCCCCATGGAACAGTATTCAGAGAAATGCTGTTTTAGAAACATGGTTTATTTCCATGTTCCTAAATGGATGGTTAATTCTTGCTTCTTAAGCACTTTTGCCTTTAAGGAGATTTTTCTCTTCTATTTGTCATATAAATTTTGAAATGCTATTTTTCCTATATATGTAGAAAAATTATATATACATGTATATAATTATATTTCATGTTTCTTTGAATATTTGATTGCTACCATGTATAATACATATATACATATAAATGGACACACACAGACATATCATGTATTTAGGTGCAGTACAGATACAAGGTTTTGGCTATTCCCGTGTGCGTCTTCAAGACCATCTCATCTGTCATTTTCTCAATCGAGCCTTCTTTGACTTCTTATGGTAAAATTAATTTCTCATTTTTTTAGGCCCCAGTAGCATTGTACTTCTGTTTGTAAGACTTACTACATTTCATCGTAATTATTTATTCCCTCTTCATCCAGCCTGGAATAAATTCTTGAAGGGCACAGAGAGACCCTCAGTCATCTTTCTATTGCCACGATCCAGCGTAAAGTCTGATCAATGAATATTCAATAAAAGTTTGTTGACTTGAATTTAATAGGGGTCATGAAAATTAAGTTTCAGTTTTATGATTTTGATTTTCTTAACTCAGACTATAGCTTTATAAATTCTAATTGTACTAAAGATGTTTTACATTTTCCTTGTAGGTTACCTTGTATAGCATGTATGTTTCCATAATGGCTTTTAATGCGAAGGTTAGTGATCCACTTATTGGAGGAACTTATATGACCCTTTTAAATACTGTGTCCAATCTGGGAGGGAACTGGCCTTCCACCGTAGCCCTTTGGCTTGTCGACCCCCTCACTGTGAAAGAGTGTGTAGGAGCGTCAAACCAGAATTGTCGAACACCTGATGCTGTTGAGGTAAGTACGTTGTAATTTTAGATAACATTAAACTAATATTAAGGTATTAATTTCTTCATTTTGCCTCTAGAAGTACTATATGTATTTTAAAGTACTATATGTATTTTATAGTTTCTAGTATAGAAATTGACATTTTTTTTCTTTCCCATCATCACTAAGGGTTCTAATGCACTCAAATCAGGGAGAGTAGCTGACTTGAAAGTGCTTCTTAGCACGGGAGGGGCAGTCTCTCCCCCCTCCGCCTGAGGATCACTGTCCCACACAATAGGTACTTAATAAATGCATTATTAATAGTTGTTTCATAATGACAGCAAAAAGGAGATTTCATTGGCTATTCATTTAACATTTGTAGGTAAAATGAAGTGGTTAGTAGTTTGTTGATACATTACTTGAAGATAATATTGTCCCACTTGTGGAGTAGATTCATTGGGTGTTTCTTTATATTTCAAATATGAAAAGCTGTATCTTGTTTATAGTATGAGCTGAAAATTGCTTTTAATCCTGTTAGTACCAAGAGGTCAAGATACATTAACATGTAACAAAAATAGATTTTGATTAATCTTTTAAATTATAAATATGTCAATTTTTAAATGCTTCCATTTTGAAATGGTGGAATATTTATCAAAATTTTATTTTTACAGCTTTGCAAAAAACTCGGTGGCTCGTGTGTTACAGCGCTGGATGGTTATTATGTGGAATCCATTATTTGTGTGCTTATTGGATTTGGGTGGTGGTTCTTTCTTGGTACAAAATTTAAAAAGTTACAAGATGAAGGACCGTCTTCGTGGAAGTGCAAAAGGAGCAATTAATTAATGCAATCGCTACTGGGCATTGTGAGAAAGGTAACTATAGTTTTAATTCAGAGATCTATCAGTGTACAGGACACAAAAGGTTGTTTTCAACAAGGAAATTATTACTCTAAAATGCCAAATGGTTAAAAACCAGAGACCTCTCCATACATGATTATACTTTTCCTTGCCTTGTCAATGTATTTACAGTTTGCTTAAGGTCAGGAAATGGATTCCGAAACAACTTTGCTGGCCTTGTTATTTGATTTCTGTCTTTTGGATTGACTGACCAAAGTGTGTTTTTATTGACTGACCGAAGTGTGTTTTAAGCAGCAGTGCAGTAGCCAATGAGTGGTACCTGTGCAGTCAAGTGTTGTCAGCGTCTGTCACTGAGCTGTATGTAAAATTTTGATAAAATAAATCCAGTGGAAAAGAGCTTGATGTTCCCATACTAACTATAGCACTCCTGGCCTGTTGAAACTTAAATCTTGTTTTGAATTGCAGATTGTTAAATTCTTTGTGGAATTTCCTGAGAAGAGAATTTAGACCATGGACTGAAGTGCTACTTTAGTTATTGTTTTTCTGACCACAACCATGTTGTACTCATGAATCTGTGTTAAAAAGACTATTTTTAATGTAGTTCCTGCTTTTGTAGGCATTAAAGATTTATAAGATTATTCAAACTATTTTTTATAAAATGAAAGCTATGATCTTTAATTTATTGTCTACCCTTTTTGGGAAGATATTTTGGTTCTTTGTTAACTTTTACCCTAACGCTCACACATGTGTTTTGCCACAAGTGCTACATGGCACATGGAAGTCTCATGAACAGATCAAAGGTGGTGTTGTATGTGTGTCCTTAGCTAAAGTGTTGGAAATAAAAATTAGATGCTTTCCTTCAAGTAGTTTTTTTTTTTATGGAGAGAAATAGTAAAGCTTTCAGATAAAGTAAAATTTAAGTGAGTAATACTGTAATTTTTTAAAAAATGCTCTAAGGAAGGCCCTGGCTGGCGTAGCTCAGTGGATTGAGCGCGGGCCTGCGAACCAGAGTATCGCGGTTCGATTCCCAGTCAGGGCACATGCCTGGGTTGCAGGCCAGTTCCCAGCAGGGGACTCAAGAGAGGCAACCACACATTGATGTTTCTCTCCCACTCTTTCTCCTTCCCTTCCCCTCTCTCTAAAAATAAATAAATAAAATATTTTAAAAAATGCTCTAAGGAGAGGGACAAAGACATTTTGTGCCTTTGACAAATTAAATCATCTGGTGGAAGAATGTTTCTTAATTAAGCACTTTACTAGTGAGAAAAGATCTCACAATTACTTTTTATCAAATCAGGTACTGTATTTCCACTTATTAAAACACAGTCTCCTGTTTGTAAACTATAGTTTTCAGTAAAGAATTGCCATTCCAGGAAAATTAAGCTTTTCAGTACTTTTAGCAATTTCCAATATATTATTTCACCTGGTAATAGATTTCTTTGTGTATTTTGTATTGTGTGTTACTCTGACTTTTAAAAGATTACAAATCCTTCAAAAGTTAGAGAAAAAGAGAGATAAGTAGAGTCCTGACAATATTTCTTGTGGAGAAATATGCATTGGCTCCTGATTTTGTTGTAACATAGGTTGAAGGTTAGAGTGGGGTTTTGTAAGTAACGGAGGGTAAAGTGGGTGGGAGGAGTCGTCGCGGAGCCTGTGCTGGGCATAAACTTGGGACCCTGAGGACTCACCTGGAAGCTCATCCCAGAGACAAGGAGTCTCCACCAGATAATAGACTGCAATACTTCTTTACATGGGTTACGCATTATCATGTGTTATAATCAAAATGTTTACTTGAATAAAGAAAAAATTCACTCAGCTTTCACATGTGAAATGTATTTTGATTTTTAATTTTTGTGTCAGGTAGCTCACATTGCCATAATTACTTTTTATTTCTTATTCATGTTATTATGAATTATACATATTTTCAAACATACTTTACAGTTTTTTAAAATTTTTATTTTACTGATTTTAGAGAGGGAGGAAGGTTGGTGGTGGGGAGAAACGTCAATTTGTCGTTCCACCTATTAGATATGTTCATGTAATCCTTGGTTGATTCTTGTTGCACTGACTGGGGACTCAGCCCACAGCCTTGGTGTATCAGGATGATGCTCTAACCAGCTGAGCTACCAGGCTAGGGCTAATGACTGAAGTTTTAAAATATATTTGAAGCCTTTACCCATGTGGTAAAAGCCAGTTACTGCATTTGTTCTGGAAATGCACAATTATTTTAAATTGTAGTCATTTGGTTATTTGCATACATGCTTATAATGCATGCCCCAAGTGACTTATTAATAGCTGTGTGCAGCTATGTTGCAGGCCTTGATTACTAATGACATTTCAACAGATGAGCTACCTGAATCTGATGATCTGTTTATTGTAAATCTATAGTACTAGAAAGTACTACCTATTTTTGTATATATTTTTCTTTACCGATTGATCTTGATAAACTCCACCCTCAAGGATGAACATTAATCCCTCTGTTTAATGTATGTATTTACTGGCTGACATCAGATATGAGCGTGTCTCTTTATGACTGGTTTCAACCTGTGTACTTCTGAGTTGGAAAGGTTCTTGTAAGATTACCTAAGACCAAAACTAAAAACTCCCTCCTTTGTAACTATTTTAATTTTGCCTGATCAATCATAAAATATTTGTTCAACACCTAAAATAGATTTTTCTTTCTTTATATTAAACCTTTGAGATCTAAACCTGTGATCTAAACCTATTATTTATTTCTTCTCTTTACTACAAGGGATTTTAGGTTAAACAGATGTCAGCAGGGCCTTGAAATCCCTGAATTACTCATAAAACTGAATACGTAATTTCTTGTTTCTCTGGGAAGAGCTCCTGTTAAAATCTTAAGTGGACTGTGATCCAGAAAAGTGTAAAAGCCTCAGCCTTACTGAATGGGGGATGCATTAGGAAGTGTAAATGTAAATTTAGGATAATAGTTGTAAAGCTGATGTTGAAGGCACTGTGAAAAGGATGTTAAAAGTCTATGATGAAAACTGGAAAATGTGTTTGTGGTACTGAACTTGAACCTTGAAGGAGTTAGAGCAGATAAAACAATATTAGTAGAAGAGGGATATAAGGTGAATTTTAACCCACAAAAGATGTATTTTAGCTATTCTTTTTTCTTATGAAAAACTTCTATTTTACTTTGTTAACAGAAACCAAAAAAAAAGTACATCTTAGATGGTGGAAATCATTATTTAGCATAACACAAAATCAGATTTATTTTTGTGTTTTTGGGGGGGTCATGCTTTTTCATGTACTTGAACGAATGAGTAAAACTAACACAGAACCTGCTAAAAATAAAGAACTTGATACCTATGTGTATATATTTAATATTCATTTTAGTTACAGAAAGGAAGGTGATATAGTGGATTGTAACTTCAGTGACTTTTTTTTTAACCAGTGTCTTTGGTAGATAGTAAGGCATAATTATTTGATTTTCTGTTACAAGGTTGAAAATACCTATTAAAGAGCATATTCTTTTTGACTTCGGCTCAATCCCTGCCTGATCTGACAGTGCCAGTTTAATGTAATCATACTTAGTTTGGGGTTGAGAGCCTTTTCATTTTCTACTTCTTACAAGTGCTATTAAAGTCTTCATTTTAGCTCTCTCAATGGTTAGCAGGTAGAATAGGCATGGAGAACTAACATTCCTTCCCAGAATTCTGCAGCGTTAGAGGCAAGTCCTGTGTTAGGGCAGGATAATTAATGTACAAGATTCATGCCCTCTCCCTTAAGTGAATAGGAACTTGATTTGATGGTTGGATTCTAAAAATTGCTTTTAAGGAGGTTTTTTTAAAAAGAAATGGGGGGGGGCGGCAGTGGACATTTCGCAGGAGAAAAGTTTCATGTAGCAAAATGAATATTCTATGGTTACTCCCTGGCTGGTGTGGCTTTAGTGGATTGAACGTGGGCTGGGAACCAAAGGGTGTCCAGTTTGATTCCCAGTCAGGGCCAGGTCCCCAGTGGGTCCACATGAGAGGCAACCACACACTGATGTGTTTCTCCCTCCCTTCTCCTCTCTCTAAATAAATAAATAAAATAGTAAGACAAACAACAATTTAAAAAAAAAAGAAAATACTATGATTAATCATAGTTATCCTTTGAAAATGTTTTGCTAAGTGTAGAGTTAAAAATATATTAAAATATTAGCAGTATTAATTTGCATGGTTTAAATGAAGCCTTGAAGCACTGAGGAAAAGGTTGCTACATTTCAATAGTTTTTCACCGTGTCCTGGCTGGCGTGGCTCAGTGGATTGAGTGCTGCTGGCGTGCGAACCAGAGGGTCTCTGGTTTGATTCCCAGTCAGGGCCCCTGGGTTGCGAGCATGAGAGGCAACCAGACGCTGTTTCTCTCCCTCTTTTTCTCCCTCCATTCCCCTCTGTCTAAAAAATAAAATAAAATATTTAAAATAAATAAATAAATATATATATATATAGTTTTTCAGTGTAGAAATAACTTTTCATAACCATTTTGTGTGAAGAATAATGTTCAAACAGCACGACAGAAACAAAGTACGGGCATAATTCTTAGAAAATTATCATAAGTCTACAATGTAGTACCCCGGCCCATTACAGTTAATGTCCCTACTGTACAATATGAATATCGAAGCCTAGTCTTATTTTCATTAAAATGACCTTAATTGTGGGGAAAGTTTACTTTTCATAGACTTACAGTTCATGAAATTGTAATTTTTTTTAATGCATGTATCTATAAATATAGGAAAATATAAAGTTGGGATAGAAATTTGATATTTTTAAAAGTTTGGTATATTTTAGCTCTGACTGGTGTAGTTCAGTGGACTGAGCGTGGGCCTGCGAACCAGACAATCGCGGTTCGATTCCCAGTCAGGGCACATGCCGGGGTTGCAGGCCGGTTCCCTGCAGGCCAGTTCCCAGCAGGGGACGCACGAAAGGCAACCATACATTGATGTTTCTTTCCCTCTCTCCTTCCCTTCCTCTCTAAAGATAAATAAATAAAATCTTTTAAAAAAAAGTTTGGCATATTTGGTAAATTAATAGAATTGTCAAGTTAGTATGTTTATATTTATTCTTGTCCTTTGTAAGAATTAGTATAAAATTGAAAAAAAATGTTGAAAGCTGCCCCTGTTGAGGTCTTTCATGAAATATTAGGCTTACATCTAGTTTTGAGTTAAAAATACACAGCACAAAGTCATTTCTATTGCTATAGCTTTTTTAAAAAATAGATTTTATTTATTTATCTTTATGGGGGAAGGGAAGGAGAGAGGGAGAGAAGTATCAATGTATGGTTGCCTCTTGTGCGTCCCCTGCCGGGAACTAGCCCGCAACCCAGGCATGTGCCCTGACTGAGAATCGAACCGTGATCCTCTGTATTGCTATAGCTTTTGAAAGATGTAACATTAGCTTTGATAGCCAAGCATTATTTAAGTGTTTTACTATATGTGAAATGTTCATTTGGTTAATTTATCTAAAAATGTTTGCTAAAGCTTGAAATTTATAAATGTTTAAATATTTGGAGATACTTGAAATAAATTCTCCAGATTTTATATAAAGGATTCTTTAGATGCTCAAAATGATTGCTTTGCAATGGATCTATAAAAACATAAAGTATTAATGAAATACTCTTTTCATTTTTAGTAAATAGTAGCCAAATATACCTTTATGGCATTGATGTTAAAATTATACTAGATAGGCATTATATAGTTAAAAGCAAATACAGTAGCTTCAAGTCATTAACACTTACCACTGACCTTTTTTTGTTGTTGTTGTTGTTACGAAGACAGACTGAATTACTGGTTGTACCTCCTACTAATGACCTGGGCGGAAGGAAGAGTAAGCGGAGCCACAACACTTTTCCTTCAAGAAGAGGTGGTGTAAGGATAGTTTGGGGTTACAAGAATTTCACTGGGAACTATTCCAAAATCTCCTGCTTTTCCATTTTTTATGGGCTCTGGTAGTTATAATGTTGAAGACTTTCTTTAAAGGACAGTTTGGGAGTATAGAGAAGATGTTTTTGTTTCTTTACCATTAGAACTTTGAGCCAATTTTCCTGAAACTTGGGACCTGTGCTGAAGGAGAAGCCCTCAAAGTTCATTGGTGCCTGGGTGGTGGGACGCCATCCAGAAGACATTAGTTTGCTAGGGCTGCCAAACACAATGCTACAGACTGCATGGCTTCAACATCGCAAACATTTTTTTCCACAATTCTGGCGGCTAAAAGTCCAAGATCAAGGTGGCAGCAGCTGTGGTGTCCCCTGATGTCTCTCTCTCCTTGGTTTAGAGACTGCCAGCTTTTTGCTGTGTCTTCGCATGACTTTTCTTTGTACACACACACATCCCTGGTGTCTCTTCCCGTTATAAGGACACCAGTCCTGTAGAATTAGAACCCCATCCTATTGACTTAGCTTAACTTTAATTACCTCCATCAAAGCCCTATCTCCAAACACAATCACATTGGGGTTTAGGGTCACCACATGCGTTTTGGAGGGACATAATTTGGTGCATAACATATTTGCTTCTCTAGTATTCGAATTTTAAGAGGAAATGAGACCTGGGGCCATGGCCATATCTCTGGGTTGTAAATCTAGAGACATAAGTTTGTCTTCCCTCCTGAAGACATACATTTACATTCCAAAGAACCTAGGATTCTTCCCAAGGAAAACTTGTTTACACTAAGGAATTAAGATTTCCTTTCTCTGAGGAAAGGAGGGCTTAGGTACAGCTGTCCTACAGAGCCACCCATATTCTTGTTTGTATTGCAGGGTTCCTCACCTGTATCACAAACCCCAGTACATGTTGGCTCTGATGAGCTGTTAATGGGTCTGGTTCTCATCAGTCACCACACAGGTGAGCATTGGGTGTGTGGAACCAATGTGATCATTATAAGTAATTAATAATTAAACCTATCCCTACTCCAGAAACTTTGCGTGTACTTTCAGTACAATACAAGTAAATAAAACTTAATAAGCACATTTCATCTGATGTTTGTTGAAATTGTAATCTCTTTAATACACATTTTGGGGCTTTATATTATGGTTAGGTCTTGGGATAGTGAAAACCTGGGTCTTAGAACCCAGAGTTCAGTCTCAAGTGATGTCTCTTTTTTATATTTTCTCCTGGTTTAAAAGGGGCAAATCATCCAAGGAATCTAATTTAAGGTAATAAGTTAAAAGAAAAAGTCAGCACCTGTGGGTGGAGGAAATAATAAATCTAGTATTTGAGTATCGAGGTATGACTTGAGGCAAAAGAAAAAAATTGGAAGGTTTATGTGAATAAATCAGACCCTCCTAAATTAGCCTTATTACATGACAGAATGGGATGGTGCAGCAGTGGACTACAAATAGGACAATCCTGTAAAAATACTTCATTCTGAACTTAATGATGTAAAGATTACAAGCTTTAGATCATCACAGGCATATACTTATACATTCATTATCCTTGATATATTGGTGTGTCCCTTATAGCCTTTGATTATTGCTTGATTCAATAATTTATTATCTTTTCTGCAATAAAAATTTCTTGACATGTCTTTCTCCTTTAGAACTTCATGATTTACTCAGCAAAGAAAGGGCAATGAAAGAAAGAGGAGGCGAAGAGTAACTTTGTCTAGGAGAATGCTCTGGAGAGGTGGTTTTGTTCTACAGCCTCTTCTTACCACAGCCTCTCCTGAGGGCAAGTGCCGTGCTCAGAGCCCCAGGCTTAGCAAATCAACTTCAGCTTTACCTGAAGTGGCCATTTTTGAGCACTTAATCAGGTCATACTGACTGCAGCTGATTGTGCTAGAGGGGTGAGTCCCTGATGGACACACAGGCAATTTGTAGACCAGCTATCAGTCTAGTAGGTGTCTTGGCAGGAAAACCTTGTTTGATATGAATGATAATGCCTGGACCAATCCTAGTTTCTCAGGGTGTCGTACAAAGAGTGCGAGATGCAGAGTGTGTGTTGGCAGTGGAAGGAGAATAAGAAAAACACACAGTGAGGCATACACCGCGTCGTTGGAGACGGGTTAGTATTTGTAGGGATCTATCTGCTCCTGGGGTGGGGGGCAGTGTTGGTGGCTAAACTCAGGAGAGCTCTGTTAGATCCTGGACAGTAGCCCAAACTGTTCTAGATGTAAGTCCTAACTGTATTGCATTTCCTCGTCGCCATTGCCCAACAACTGGCTTGAGGTTCCAGGGTTCCTTGTGTCTTCTACCCAAAAGCCTCCCACCACCTATTTAAAAAAAAAATCAAGGTATAATTTACACAAAGTGCATGCAAATAGATTTCAATAGGATACAGAAACTGTCCAGTATCATTTTGTTTCCTCCTCCCTCCTTTATGCTATTATTGTTATACAAACCCTATCTTTATACACTAGCCCATCACAGTTTTATTATTATTGTTTTATCTAGTATTTGAAATCATACAGGAGAAGCAAAGAGTTATAAACAAAAATACACTTATGCAGTATTTTATATTTTGCTATATAGTTACCTTGACTGCTACTCTAATTCCTCATGTGCACTGTAGTTACTAGTTCTGTTTTTCCTAAAGGCTGTAGGACTGAACTGGTGTGGAAGAATATGGAGAAGGAAAGAGGAGGTGGACAAAACGAAGGAGGAAGGAGAGGTAGAGATCTTGCCATAGAGAATTGAAGAGGGTGCCTCTCATTCAGCTAATATTTAATAAGATTCTTCTATGTATCAGCAACTACGCTTGGCTCTGGCTATTCAGGCATATACATAGACACGGTAAAGAGACACAGTCCCTGGCCTACAAACTAGTAGGGAAGGAAGGGAATAAAAAGAAAGCCTGTTTGTCAGTCCATAAAATTACAAATTCAATTTTATGTCATGTATGGAGATGACCTACTTTGAGATTAAGTGTTTAGAAAAGCCTTTTGTGGCTATGATACTTAAACTGAGGATAAGAAGCCAGGCTGATGATGGTGGCAAGGCGGAGAGACTCAAGGGGAGGAGAGATCAGGGTGTTCTAAGCAAAGGGAACAGTAAGTACAAAGCTGTAAGATAGGTATGAACTTGGCATGTGTGAAGAACATAAGGTCAGTGTACTCAGTGTGCTTGAGGCATAACGAATGAAGTAGGGAGTAGAAAAAAGATAGCTAGGGTCTCGATTATCCAGTATCTTGTACATGATCCTAAAGAATGTTGACGTTACTTAAAGCATAATGAAAGCCATTAGCCCTGACTGGTGTAGCTCAGTGATTGAGCACGGGCCTGAGAACCAAAGGACTGTGGTTAGATTCCCAGTCAGGGCACATGCCTGAGTTGCAGGGGACGCACCAGAGGCAACCAAACATTGATATTTCCTAGCAGGGGACGCACCAGAGGCAACCAAACATTGATACTTCTCTCCCTCTCTCCTTCCCTTCCCCTCTAAAGATAAATAAAATCTTTCAAAAATTATTTTAAAAAAACTATTTTAAAAAGAAAGCCATTAAAGCAGAAATAATGCACAGAAAGCCTGTAGTCTCCACCTTAACACATTCTATGCCCATCACAATGTTTTGCCAACATTTCACTTTAATTTCAAAACTGATTTCATGTAAAAGTCTACATTTGCAGTTTACCATGAAAAAAGCTGAAGATCTCTCCATACTGGACTCCAACTGTTTGGTGCACGTTGGGTGTAATCCAATGTGAGGGTTTTGCCAGGCATGTGCCAAGAAGGTGGGGGGGGGGTGGAGTTGAGGCTATTTTCAAGAGTGATTATAAGGCTGAAACAGACCAAGCTGGAAAAGATGGGAACTGAAGACTACTAGATGGGGCAGGTGAACAGGGCACAGTTCAGTGGCATGGTCATCTCAATGAGCGCAAAGAATTATTGCTGTAAGTGGAGGAATGAACTTCAATTTTCCTTCTTGCATGGCACCTACGAAACCCAGACTGCAGCTGGGTTAATTGAAATCACAGACTGATCATCTTCTCACTAGCGTGGTCCAGAACTCTTCAGTCCTTACCCATGTCCCATAGGGATCACCCGCGCTGTAGGAAAACCCTGCAAAGTGTGGAGTCGTCACTGCTAGGGTGTCTTCTAACGGGTTGGGAGGCCCGCCCACCGGCGACAGAAGGAGGGAAGCAGGTCGTCCAGCCACTCCCAGCGCTTGGCGCCCCGAAAAGCCCGAGGAGCGCGGCGCCCCCTGCTGTCCGCCCGTGGAGCGTGGCTCGGGCTCGCCGGTAGCCGGGAACATGGCGGGGCGGCCCGGAGCCGGGGCCTCGCCTTCTGCCGACCAAGACGGAGCATCGCCCAATGTGGTGGCGAGGCTGTCGCAGTGGGCGGATGACCACCTGCGCCTCGTCCGGGTATCGCAACCCAGCCAGCAGGGAGGTGGTGGGCGGGCCGGGCCGTGGGCAGCGCTGGGCGGCCACAAGCCCAGGCGCGCGTGGGCGAGGAGGCGAGGCAGCGAGGGGCAGGCTCGGCGGGCCCGGGAGGCCGGCGCTGCCCGGTTCCTGCCCGCACTGTGCTGGGTCCCGGGACTCCCCAGAGAGCGGTGCCCGCGGGTCTTTAGAGCGGTTGCGGAGGGCGGAGCATGTAGGCCGTGTAGGCCTGGGGAGAGAAGAGGTTTCTTTATTTTATTTTTATTTTTAAGTGAGGTAAGAAGCCACTGAAGTTCTAGGAAGGGAGGGACATTTGAGGCGACCAGGCTAGAGAGGATTGTGGCTAAGACCTCATTGGTGGTGGTGGTGTGAATGATGTGCTTGTGGGGTGCAAAGGAATGGAGGAATCAGGGCAGCTTCCCCCTGGGTATATGTTGGCAGAAGTTCCTGGTATGTAGTAGTTGGGGGTAAATGTTTTGTTAGGATAATCTAGAGGACTTTTTGGACACGTGAACTTGAAGATGCCTATTAGACTTTAAACAGAGCTGTGTGAACTCGAACACGGTCACTGGACTTCTAAACATAGTTGGATATGTTCTAGGCAACTGGATATGAGTCTCGTGTTGAAGGGACATCAGAACTGGACTGTACCTTTGGGAATGAGCTGCGTAGGCCTGAAGAAGTATTTAAAGCTTGGATGACATTTTGGAGCGAGTCAGAAAAACTGAAGTATCCTAGTTTCAAAGTGAGGCCTGCAGGACTCTCTTAATAGCTAGAAATTCGGGAGTGAAAAGAAGAATGTCAGCAAAGATTAGGAAGGAACGGTGAGGGAGGAGGAGGAAAACCAGGTGTCCTAACAGAAGGAATGGCCGACTCTGCTGAGAATTTGGGTAGGATGAGCAGCCTTGCAAATCCTCTGCAGCCAAGCAGCACACAGGGCGACTGGGACGATGCCTGGTCTCACTCCCAGGAGTGGAGGGAGCTCCAGTCCGTAAAGCACTGCCTACCACTTGGTGCCAGATAATATTTACTGCATTAATGAATGGTGGTAGGTATGTGTATACGTGTTAATTGACCAGTCTTTCAGGTGAACAGGAAGAGATGCATGGATTATTTTAAATGGAAAAACGACTTCAGTAAGATTGGGAAAGGAAACAGCGTTTAAGTTAGTGGAGAGATATATTATTGCAAATAACTCATGACAGCATGTACATCATGTATGCTTGCAACTTCACTTTTTATAATACCTAGCTGTATTTATCAAGGAAAGCATGTCAGATTCTCACTTTTGTTCAGGGGGTTGCAAGGTTCTTGTTTTTTAATGAAACTCCTTTAGGTCGATTTCTTTTCAATGAAATGCTATGAAAACATCGTAAGTTTTTCTCAACTGCTACCTCACATGTATTTTCCAAGGTATTGTATTTTTAACATTTTGGTGGTTGAGTTTTCTACCAAATACTTAAATTCCCACTGTAGACTCAGGATTCTGTGAGTTACTGTGGTCATTACACATGAAGTCTTAAACTCACCCTCACTTTCAAGGAACTGAGGGTTAAAGGAATACAGTTAATAGAGAACAATGCAATATAATGTGAGCAATTACTGTGTGTGCCAGATTGTTTGTGGGGGAAAGGGGAAAATTAATAGTTAGGTGGGCAGTTAAAGATTTTTTTTTGGAATAAGTGGGGCTTTAGTTGAGCCATGTGCCTTACTTGGATGGTTAGATACAGGATAGTAATTTTTTATCCCCAATTAATACTTTCACTGTTGTGAATAATAATTAGAATTAATCATTAAATCTTTTTCTGAAGAACTTCAGCACCATAATGGCTGCAGCTGGAATAGTGTTGCTTCTAAGAAGTGTTCGACTGGTGAGTTGAAAAATGAACAAGGCATTGTGGGAAACAATAGACTGTTAATTTTTTCTCACTTCAGTTTTTATCTCAAGCAGTGTAGCATTTTGGTATTCATATTAGAAACATTTAAATAGTATTTTACAACAATGAACAATTAAGATCTTGTTTTAACAGTCACACATCCTCTGTATTTTACGGGAAGTAATTTCACAGCATGTATTTCCATCATCACTTTCTTCATGCTTAAAAATAAATCCGAAAGAATTTAGTTTGCTAGGATGGTATAATCACTAAATTTGCATTTCAGATACTGGAATATCTCAAAACTTTCTATAGTGGTTTTAGATTTAGATCATAGCAGAATTATGTCCCTTTCACTGAATAATTTATGCTTGCTCTGATTTGCAACAGTCTT